TTCAGGCTTCGGGGCCAGGTCGGTGCGGTGGGTGGGTATCTCCGCAGCCAGCGTGTGCTCGGGCCGGCGCGCGCGGCCTCCCCCTCTCCCATCCCGGTCCCTCTCCCCTAGGCTCCTACCCCACCCAGCCGCCCTCCTCGGGGGGCAGCGGGGCCGCTCCCGCCGTCCTTCCCGGCCTCACCTACCCTCACCCGCCCTTGTGTCTCCTTCCCCTGCCCGGGGCAGCCGCCGCCATGATCCTGCTGGAGGTGAACAACCGCATCATCGAGGAGACGCTCGCGCTCAAGTTCGAGAACGCGGCTGCCGGGTGAGCGCGCGTCCGGGGCCAGGGGCGGCGGGGGGAAGACGGAGTTGACCTCAGCCAGGGCCCGGGGGCGGCCGGCCCCCCTCTCTTCACCCCCGACCTGGAAGAGAGCGATGGAGGGGTCTGGCCGGGTGTCGGGGCTGCCCGGCCCCGGGGAGACGTGGGAGGCGACGGGGCGCGGTGGGGTGAGGGGCCGAGATGCGTGGGGAGAGGCTCCGAGCCGGGATGCGGAAGCCGCGGGGACCCGAGCGTGCCAGCCAAAGGGCAGGCAGACCTGTAGGACGCGGGGGGCAGCGGAGGCCGGAACTCACGCGGGGAAAACCATCTGGGGTGCCAAGAGGACCACCACTCGGTTCTGTTCTCTGTCATTGTTACAGACCCAAAGAGACTCCCTTCTGGGATTAAGTTGGGTAGAGTATTTAGGAATTCCCAGGACGTAGTGGAAGATGCAGGCCCAGATCTCACTTCCCCACCCCTGCCTCCCCTCGAAGGAGCCGGAGGGAAGACTGAAAGCAGACCCTGTCGGGGGCGGGGGAGGGGAGGGAAGCCATCTCTCCACTTCTCTCTAGCTTCCCTTTCCCCCATTCCCTACTGTGAGAGACACTGCTCATTTTGTTATATATTTCTGTAGCAAAGCGAATAGTCATTCACACTCTCCTTATCTCTCTCCTGAGATTGTAACGATTTTTCTCCACCCACTAGCTTTTATCTGGTTGATGTCTGCCTTTAAATTCTTCCCGGAGACCCTTAATCTGTATTTTTTTTTTAATTGTGGTAATCCTGGACCAGATGTATACTCAAGCCTCCAGAATCTGTGAAGTTCTTAGCCTTTTTTAACATTGACCTTTTAAAAAGATGGGCTTGGGACATATTCCAGCCTTCTCTGTCAAACCCAAGCCAGCCTCCTTTCTTGCAGCTATTTGCTTTCCTAGTATCTAAAACATGAACAAGAATTGGATTTTAGCGTGTAATTTTTAGAGGCCAGTGGCTAGTCCTTTTGTCTCATTTCCCCATCTATGAAGATGGAGCTTCACATCTTGGTTTCACAGTTAGGAAATAAGTGCAAACTGTTTCTGGTGAACTGGGCACTAGAAATAGGAAAGGAAGTACTTGAGATCCACCAAAGGGAGAAGATTGATAGAGGGGAAATTCTAAGTGGTTATAATGAACTATTGTTTATAGCAGTTAAAGCAGAAAAGGGCAAGGGGAGCATTAGCTAGGTCTTAATGGCTCATGTCTGTAATCCTTGCTACTCTGAGGCTGAGCTCTGAGGATCATCATTCCACCATGGCTGGAAAGGCTGTGAGACTTTTCTTGGGTTAGCCACCAAAAAGCCGGAAGTGGAACTGTGACTCAAGTGATAGAGTTCCAGCCTTGATCTGGAGAAAAAGTGAAGGGTCAGTATGTAGGGCCTGAGTTAAAGCCCCAGTAACCTCCCTCATTCCCCCCCCCACACACACAAAGTATTGACCCACAATTTACACTGAATATACTGTGTGTTCTGTTTTATAAGGTCACAGATTTTATCTGTAAGACAAAGCATTACTTTCCTTGAAGTAATTTATGCAGTGAGCAGGTACTGCTTCCTGCCAGGGGCTGCAGTTGCTACTATGTTCAGATGATTTCCTTGTCTTCAGCCTCTCCAGCCACTTCTTTGCATTTTAAGTATTCAAGTGAATCATCTCAGGGTTTTATTTTGAGTGATTACTGTGTACTTCATTTGAGTAGTTTAGCATATAGGAGGAAGTTGAAATAACTTCTGCATTTTCACAACTGATCTTAATACATTCTCATGTCCAGACTAGCAAGGAATGAGACCTGGGTGGTTATAAGCTGATCTACAAGATAAGTAGCTATGTATTTTCAAGTATAGGCATGCCTTTTTGGGAGTGTTTTCATATTTGCTTTTGTATTAATAATTTGGGACTCAGAAAGGTAAAACATTACTCACAACTCTTTCTTTTAGAAAATTCTACTTAAAAGTAGCAGAAAGCTGGCCGCTAGTGGCTCATGCCTGTAATCCTAGTTACTCAGGAGACTGAGATCTGAGGATCACAGTTAGAAGCCAGCCCAGGCAGGAAAGTCTGTGATTCTTATCTCTAATAAACTCAACAAAAGCTGGAAGAAACACTGTGGCTCAAGTGGTAGAGCACTCACCTTGAGCAAAAGAAGCTCAGAAACAGGGCCCAGGCCCAGAGTTGAAGCCCCAGGATGGGAAAAAATAATACAAAATAAAAAGTGGACAGTAGCAGATCCCAGCACTCAGGAGGATGAGGCAGAAGTAGTTCCGTGCCAGCCTAGGTTGCATCATGAGACCATGTCTCAAACAAAAAGGCAGCTAACCATTTTAAAAGTAGGCTTTCAAATCTGACATAAATTATAATTCCCAGGGATTTAAAAAAAAACAAAGATACATTTTGTAAGTAGAGTTTGAATATGGGTGGGGTTAGTAAGTTTCTCAGATCTTTCTCCCCTTTGAGATACGACTATCAATAAATGGGCTTAATACATTCTGCTGAGAATTATTTTAAAAATCTTTAAAAACAGACAGTGATGAAGGGGAACTGGGAGAGAACGAGGGGAGGGGTGATGTCCAAAAAGAAATGTACTCTTTGCCTAAATTACGAAACTGTAGCCCCTCTCTTTATCAACTTTATAATAACAATAAAAAAAATTAAAACAGCCAGTTATCTTGTGCCTAGTAAGTAGAAGTTTTCTAGCCTAGCATTGAAAATGTAATGGCCAGCAGAAGGTTGCTTCCAGGCAAGAGTGAGCTTCCAGGTATGTCTGTCAAGTGAGTCAGTGAAGCAGTTAAGTGTTTATTCAGGCACATGGCTACACCAGAACTTGAAAGATCACTGATATGTTCATCATAAACATGTAGGGTTCTGGCAGTGCTCATCAGTAGACAGCAATGGAAAAAAAGGGGGCCTCTCTGAGACAGCCTGTTAGCACAGTTACAGAGGAACTAAGGGATAAACTGGGTTGGGGGTAGGAGGGAATCAGAAAGACAAGGAAAGGGAATAGCTTGGACAAGAAACTTTGTGATTTGAATGGCTTTGCCAGTATGGGAACCTACTGGGAGAGGTCAGCTCCACCCTGCTTTTTACACTTCTCAGAATGAGCCAGTTGAAGAAATTGTGGTTCAGTGCAGCCTTTTTCAGAGTGCATCTTCCAGCTCTGCAATGTTCAATATTATAGCCATTTGCTGTATGTGGCTGATTAAATTTAAAATACAAATTAAAATGAAGTAAAATTAAAATTTAGTTTCTTGGGCTGGGAAGGTGGCTCAGTGGTGGAGTGCTTGCCTTGCATGCATGAGGCCCTGGGTTCAATTCCTCAGCACCACATAAGCAAATAAAAAAATGTTAAAATTTAGTTTCTCATGAGCTGAGTGCTGGTGGCTCACACCTATAATCCTAGCTACTCAGGAGGCTGAGATCTGAGGATCACGGTACAAAGCCAGCCTGGGCAGGAAAGTCCATGAGACTCTTATCTCCAATAAATCACTCAGAAAACTGGAAGTGGTGCTGTGGCTCAAGTGGTAGAGCACTAGCCTTGAGCTGAAGAGCTGAGGGACAGCGCCCTAAGACCAGAGTTCAAGCCCCAAGACTGAAAAAAAAAACACCTCAGTTTTTTTTGTTTTTTCTAGTGTTAAGTTGCCGCATATGGGGAGGTAGCTGCTATGTTAGACAGTACACACATCACATATAGACATTTTCAAGATTACAGAAAGTTTGTTGAGCAGCACCCATCCAGTTACTGAATATAGAAACATTTTCCCCCCAATGCTAGGTATCAAATCTAGGGCTTCGCACATGAAAGAAGCTTTCTACCACTGAGGAACATCCCCAGCTCTCATTGATAGTCTCATTGTTTAACAATACTTTGGGGCTGGGCACCAGTAGTTTACATCTGTAATCTTAGCTACTCAGAACACAAATTTCTGAGTATTGCCATTCAGAGCCCAGGCAGGAAAATGTGATAGTCTTACCTCTAACTACCAAAAAGCCAGAAGTGTCTCAAGTAGTAGAGGACTAGCCTCGAGCAAAAAACCTCAGGGACAGTGCCCAGGCCCTGAGTTCAAGCCCCAGTACCAACACACACACACAAGAAGGAATATTATTCTTAGTTTTTTTTTTTTTTTCTGGGGTCCAGTCGTGGGGCCTGAACTCTGGGCCTGGGCGTTGTCCTCAGCTGTTCAGCTCAAGGCTAGTGCTCTACCACTTGAGCCACAGCGCCACTTCCGGCTTTTTCCTTTTTGCTTATGTGGTGCTGAGGAATCGAACTCAGGGCCTCATGCATGCAAGACAAGCACTCTACCACTGAGCCACCTTCCCAACCCTATTCTTAGTTTTTCTACCTGTATAGATACCCTCACAAAGGGACACTACAAATAAATTGGTTTTCTGACTGCAAACTAAGAGTGTGTGATGGATTAAAAAGCTACACTCTCGTGGTTCATGCTTACAATTATAGCTTATCTACCTAGGAAGGAGGCTGAGATATGAGAATCACAGTTTGAAACCAGCCCAGGTAGGAAAGTCCATGAGACTCTTACCTCCAGTTAACCACTAAGAAGCCAAAAATGAGGTGGGTTAAGTTGGAGAGCACTAGCCTTGAACAGAAAAAGCTCAGGGACAGTGCCCAGGCCCTGAGTTTTAGCCCCAGGAACTGTTTTTAAAAAAAGCTGCACTCAGCACTATAAATAACTGCTCAAGTCTTAACAGTATTGTCTTTTCATTTAGGGATTCTTACTCAGTCTCATAATTAAAGCAGAAGTAATCTGGCAAATTATTTCTTTTGTTACCATATATACACCAAGAACCTTTTCAGCTTCAGAAGTGAGGTCTGTCAACTTAGCTAGAGAATGTAGTCCAGAACTGAGGAAATGCTGTCAGATGCAAAATTGCTGTTGATTTTAAGTGCCTTCTGGCTCCTTGCCACAGCATGTGCATATATTGTGGGGAGCTGTGGTTCTGTGAGGGGGAGTGAAGCTAAGC